CCTACACAATATTGGATTGTTTGATGACTAATTATTATTCTGAAAGTTGTGTGGTGAGATTCGTATATTCGGAATAGAATAAATTATTCATATACGTATTTACTAAGGCGTATGGTGGTTAAGTAATATAAAATAAGTGACAATTGGATCTTTGTGATTGTTCGAAAACGATGAACGCGAGTGGTAGATCTCAATCCAAAGAAGGATTATGTAATGATAATGATGGTGATCAGATTGACAAATTGAGCAAGTATTCAGAAGAAAGACTTGAGTGGGCGCAACCAATACTTTTAGGTTATACTTTATATGTTTTGAGAAGGTTTTGGAAAAACTGTGATTATGATTTTTATTTTTTATTTTTAGTACCATATTATTATTTACACAACGGTGAGGGAGAGCTCGGCTAAGTTAAATAATTGGCAACTTAATTTGGTATCGAATTCGCCATCCACAAAATTCAAACACAAAATTCAAACTTAAGATCTTTCACTTACCAATGAAGATGAATATCATCAGACCATAATACTGAGTAGTGCTTTAGAACTATTATTTACTTAGGAAATTTTACTCTAGCACCCTTCATATGATCTTACTGAATGGCAATTGGGATTATTAATCTCACTCTAATACTCTTCATATCCGCAGCCAAGGAAGGATTTGCGAAGCGGCAAAAGGTTGGATGCTTTCTAAGTCCTATTCAGTGTTCTAAACAGCAGCTGCCTAGGCGCTCAGTGGTGAGGTGTCATCCTGATTGGGTGCTAAACAGTGGATAAAATTGGGGAGTTATTAGGCGCCCGCCTAGGCGCTCTTAGGCGATCCTAGGTGGTGGTGCTAGATTGTTCTCCATGTCGCCTTTCAGATCTAGTCGCCCCTTCATCGCAGATTCGTCAATAAAATCTGAGGAGAGGGGAGGGAGAGAGGGAGGCAGAGAGTTCGTGCAGAAGGAGATAGAGGGAGAAAGCAATGGTCTGCTGCAAAGAGGCCGAGTGGGAGATAGAAGAGAGAGTGTGCATATGAGATTTGAGGGGTGCGGCTATTGTTTAGCTAGGGTTGGTAAGGTTTTGTTTTATATAGTAAACGTTAATAGTAAAAGTTCTTGACATTTTCTTTTAACAACTATGTCAACCCAACTTCATTTTTCTTAAAGAAACTAAGGGCCAATAATAACTTCAAATTTACATCTTAAAAATAACCCCAAGTTTATACAATGTTCATAGTTATGCATGTTTTGCATTTTTATTTTTCAAATTATATATATGGATGATTTTTTTAAGAGTAAATATGCACTTATTTCTATATTATATAATAAATTTATTTAAAAAATACAAATCCATTTATACACCAGTTCGCCGCTCGACTTCGCCTAGCGTTTTTTAGAACCATGGTCCTATTACATTGCTTTTCTAACTTTGCGTTTCTTCTTTCTATTATTTGTTGATCTGTTCATTTCTTCCATCTTATTCTCAGTTCCAGCAAGAGCTTTTTCATCTTCTTCCACACTCATATGGAAAAGATTTGAATGTTTAATTGGTGGAGAAATGTACGGTAAGTTTTTTCTTTTTCGCCTCTAGTGTTGGTTGTCCCTCATGAAATTTGAGGGGTAATTATATTTTCGTTTGATATTCTATCAATTTAGCTTGGCGTTACTTTATTAGTATTTTATGTGGAGCAGCGCAAATTCTCTTTAGTTTTATTTGCTTGGGTGCTGCTCTAATATGGTGTAGGGTTATTTCATTTATTTTGTTTCATTTGGTTCACAAAATCACCTTGAATATTGTTTAATGATATTCATTGTCTTTGTCTTTCATGCACTAAATGGAAAGGATCAAAGTTAACATAGAATTGGCGTACAAGCGAATTGATTGTGGGATTGTATATTATTGGTTATGATGGAAGGTTAATATTTTAAATGAAGGTAAGGTATGTCGTTCATCTTCTTTTTGTCTAGTTTCAATCTACTAACAGAAGCAATTATAATTGTGAGTAATCTAATCAATATTGTTGGTTTTTGTTGTCAGTCTTCGCAGGGATCGTTCACTCCCATTAGAGTTCATGAAAATATGAATTTAGAGAGTGTCTCCTACTATTCCTTACATAGACAAAAAGTTGTATGTTATAAGTTTGGTTTGACAATTTTTCATGGTGAAGATTATCTACGATTAGACTGATTTAGATTACGTTTGACTCTAAATGCTCTTGGTTAGGGAATGATATAAAATTGGAGTACCAGTAGCCAACCAAAAATTTTCCTACCCTTTGTCTATACGCGGTACGTAAAGAGTTCTTTTTTCATACGCGGGAAGTAGCTCACGCATGTGGCAATTGCCTTTTTGTTTATCACGGCGCATTACGTGCAAGTTAGTTGTATGTTCTTCTAATTGAATTGACATACATAATAGTTAATCACATGTGAAAAATTATATAAAAAAATGCACAAAAAAACCTGTAGTTGCTTGATTAAAAATTCTTAAATTGTAATTATTATTTTATGTGCTTTTGATTGTTCTACTGTGGTTAACTTGTGTCTACAGTAAAAAAGGATGAAAGCAGGTTTCATAAAATGTGCTAAATGCCAAAGCAATGTAGAAAGACACCGTAAATTAATCCCTTAGTTGTGTTTTTATCTTTTAGCAAGAGTTATGCCTTATAATGTAAATGTGCAATTACTGTGTGAAATCTTTCTGCAATATAATTTACATTCATCTTTTTTCTAACAATTTGTCCGCCTCATGAAAATATGAAAAATAATTTTATCACTACCTGAATAAGGAAAATTATGGATATATAAAACCGATGTATGTAGAAAATGTATGAGTGTATTTGTAGTAAAGAAGTTTTTATGTATGCACAAATTTGGAAGGAAAAAGAATTCGGTATGCCTTGCGTAACGCGTCGTGATGTAAAAATATGTCTTTTGCATGCGTAAGGCTCGTGCAGAAAGGTTAGTTATATGTTATTCCGCTACTATCATACCATCACGTGTTGATTTCAAACGAATATTGAGATCAGGGTGTGATAATTTGTGTCTATTCAAATGAAATTTTTGATATGTTTGAATGTTTTTATAAAACCGTAATTTTTGAAATTAGGTGACAAATTTTGGCCAATAACAATAAGAACTCTTGAGCGAGAATTAACGGGGACAACTGGACTTTAGCCTTTAGGGTTTTCACATTCCAGTTTTGGTTTTTATTTTAAATTATTTTTAATTCCTTTTCAGAGAAGCAGCAAAGAGGCCATGCACCGTTTGAGTGCAAAAGATTTGGACTTCAAGGTCGGCTTATATGAAACTGGAAAAAACATAAGTAAAAAAGAAACAAATAAAATTTAAACACGTGGGATTATGTGCCACCAAAGCAAAAAGTTAAAAAAGAAAAAGAAAATTGAAAATTGACTGTGCTTAACAAACAGTGGCGCCATGGCTGGATTTCTGCATACAAACGTTTCCTTCTCTCTCTCTCTCTTGATAGTTTTTAACGGCGATCCAGTACCTTTTTGACTTTTTCCATATTCCATTTTCTCTGTCTTTCCCCAAAAAATCATCAAATTATTTAGTTTATCTGTTTTTTCCTCACGAGAAAGCGTTTGATTACAACAAGAAGAATAAAGTCTTTCTGCATATCTCATGTGATTGCCATTAAAAACGACATCTCTCTCTATCTCGATAATGCCTCATCTGTATTTAGCCTTTCTTCTGCTTCTCCTTCTCTGTACGCCACATAATAAGCTGCTAGAGCTGCTGCATTTAAGATTTCGTTTTTTTTTCCAGTGATTGAGGATGGAGAAGGAGAAGAAAAAGTATCATATAGGATCAGAGCAGTGGCGGATCCAAGATTTTAAGTTTGGGGGGTCCCATTAATAAAGGTAAAAAAATTTATAGACAAAATTAACATTGAAAAGTTAAATATAATACATTTCATTCAAAAATCATACGCAAAACAACATTACAAGCTATAAAATCCTAATTTGAGCATCCATGACGGGGTTTCATAGTCTGAAAATGTTCTATGATAGCTTCATTACAAATACATGAAAAAACATCACTCAGCCATCTTTCTCAATGACCAAATAGATGGTGCTATCAGCTTTGACTTGAAAAATCTCTCCACATTTTTTTATTTCTAAACTACACATTTAACAAAAAAAAAATAGAAAAAATATACCAATTGTTAAAAAGGGTCATATTTTCTTTCTTCTCCGTGCGCGGTCTAAGTGGATTTAAGTAAATTTATTATATACCTAGTATTTTGGTGAATTTAAGGTATAAGATAAAAGTTCAAATAATTACAAGTTCATAGTAATTTACATAATATTTTTAAAGATCATATTGATTTATATTGAATTTTAAGACAAATAAGTGTGTTAAATATGTGGGTGTAGAAAGTAAAATGAGGCACTAGACGCGTAAGGAGGGGAGCCACACCAATTAACAAAAATATACACTTAGGGACTGACAACCCATTTTCATTTTTTGGAAGAGTAAACTACCGATTTGCCCCCCTGAACTATCACCCAACTTTCGATTTGCCCCCTGAACTTTTTAATTGGAAAATTAAGGACTTAAACTAATTTTTTTGGCCAATTTGCCCCCTGCTATTAATTTTTCATTCATTCCATCCAAATTTCTGTTAAGTGGAAGCATATGCACAACATGTGTGGGTAGTTCGGTCACTTCATTCTTTAAAATAATTGAAAACCTTAGATTTCTAAAATATAAACCTATGCAAATATGTGTGATTCTATAGCTTTTCTATCTGAATGTCTAGTGAAATGACGCTTTTGTCCACAAATGAGAGTTACGTAGTTTGCACATGATAAGAGTTAACGTTAATTTGGATGAAATTTATGAAAAACTAACGGTAGGGGGGAAATCGGCCAAAAAAATTAGTTTAAGTCCTTAATTTTCTAATTAAAAAGTTCAGGGGGCAAATCGAAAGTTAGGTGATAGTTCAGGGAGCAAATCGGCAATTTACTCTTTTTTGGAAAGATTGCTAGCTATCGGAATGTGATTGGACCAATTAAAAAAATCAATAAAATGGGAAAGTTTGAGGGTGGTCACGTGGGAATGAAAGGATGAGAGAGAAACTCATTTAATCATCTTCTTCCTCTCGCAAGAACAGAACCTACCAACCCAGAAATTACAAAACACATTGCACAGACCTTGTGTTCGAGTACGAGGGGTCCCCGAAAATTTTATAGCAGCGATTTAGGGTCGCCGAAGGGTCCTGGGACCTTGTCCCTCTGTAGATCCGCCACTGGATCAGAGCACTACACCCTGTATGAGAAGGTAGAGCAAGGCGTCATCGTTTCTTTACACCGCGCTTTCTGTAAGCCGTTGAAGGAGATTGTTACCATCAAAATCCTTGATTGCGATCTGGTATTTCAATCTTTTGGTACTAAACCTATCTAATTATCAATTGGTAGGTAGAGAAGTTCATGGGGTATTATATGTAGTTTTGGAAGATACAAACATTTAGTTTTGGTTTTATTGATATTTCCATGACCCCATTGAAAATTAGCCAAATTACCATGTGGATTTGCTTAGATTGCCCAATCCCGAGGTGTTTATTTCCATGATAATGTCGGTGTTTGAACATTGTTCTGTGTATTTTTTCTTTCAACAGAATAACATTTTTCAGGAAGCATAAACAATGATTCTCGTCAACCATCCTACTGTCCTCAAATCACATTGTTCCTTTGTTAGTGATCATAATTTGTGGGTTGTCACGCCGTTCATGGTTGGGGGTTCTTGTCTTCGCATTTTGAAGGCAACATATCCGGATGGTTTTGAGGAAGATGTTATAGCCACTGTATTACGTGAGATTTTGAAGGGTTTAGAGTATCTTCATCATCATGGCCATATTCATCGAGATGTCAAAGTAAGTATGTTAACATTCCACATCGTTCAAATATTTTTATGCTGCAACGCATTCCTAGCTGGACAAATGAACCAATTGTTTTTAATTGTATTGTCTTCAACTTGTTATGTTTTTTGTGGTATGGTTTCTAGTTTTAATGACAATGTCATTTGGTTGTCTATGTACTACATTCACAGTTTAAATCTTATATCGCAAGGCAGTTGCTAAGCTTTTTCCAACTCATATTTCTTGCCACTCTTTAAGACTTTTCATCCAAAACTTGTGATGATCATTTTAAACTGGAACACAATTGTCCAATATTAACTTAGTTACTCGAATCATGTCAAACATGTCAAACAGAGCATTTCCAATAGTTGAAAGTACATTCTTGATCTCTCTAGCCCCATATGCAGTAGGATAGTGTCTGAACTCTTGTGCATAATTATTTAACTACCTTATCATTTTGTGGTGCATATTTTCTATATACCATAATAAACTTAGACTTCTAGTCGCAACAATTATTGGTTTTTTAATGCATCTATAATAAACTTGGGAACCTTTAGCTCATTTTCTCTTCTTTGACTTGTAAATACTTCTTATACACTGGAGATATTCTCATTGGCTCACACGGTGCCATCAAGCTTGGAGACTTCGGTATTTCTACTTGCCTTTTTGATTCAGGTGATAGGCAGCGTATGAAAAATACGTTTGTGGGAACGCCTTGCTGTTATACTTGTTTTTGCTACTTTATGAGTTTGTATAATTCTTAATTGTTCAAACTCCTGACATGCCATATAATTTTGGCGGGCTATCGAAAAGCCTTGGTGCACCAATGGTAAATCATTAAGGGAAGAACATACATCAATTAACTACAATTATAGTTTGGATTGTTTCAAAACATTTAACTAAGAAACTTAGTTTTGACCATCTAAACATCATAAGCCTGATTCCTTAGTCTTACTTTTCTTATTACTTTATGTTGTAATCAATAGTTTTTGTATCTTTGTCTTGTAGGATGACACCAGAGGTTATGGAGCAATTACATGGTTATGATTTCAAGTCAGTTTGTTATCTATTTAAACTAATTGCTAGTCTTACTCTCCTATTCCTTTTTAAGAAAAACAAAATTCTTTGGCATCATAGAGTTAAGGTTTGGTTGTCATTTTCATGCAGGGCAAATATTTGGTCTTTTGGTAAAACTAGATATTGGAGCTTGCCCATGGTCACGCTTTTTTTCTCAAAGTATCCTCCAATGAAGGTGCATATTAATTGACACTGTATTCTTTTGTGAACATGACACACCCCGATCCGAATCAGGGCATGCTGGCCGTCACATGAGGGTGACGTAGCCATGTGCACAGTGCAGAAACAATAATGATAATAGAGAATACGAATAAATAGAAACCAACTCATAAGAGTACTAGCTATGGTAAGTGCTAGAAAATGTGTGAATACACAATCAGAGCATAAATAGCCTAAGTTCAATCCAGAAAACAGGTGCTAGTAAAACGAAACCCAAAGATGTCCTACATTTGTGATAGTCTGTTAGAACTTCCAATCAATCCTCGTGAGCCACCAACGAACAAGCTTATCTAAAACCTGGAGGAGCGCAAAATAGAAAGTGTGAGTGGGCAAAAACAAAGCTTTTCAAAACCATTTCATTATCAAATGCTCTAACCCCTCGCCGTAAAACATGTATAATTTTCCCATAAATATAATATATATATATATATATATATATATATATATATTCAAATCATGCTTCACATATCCATAATCATAAGTATGCCATGCCAAAAATATAAAACAGAATAAGTAACTCAGGTGAAAATAAATTCATGGATAAATAACATATTAGCCGGAACCCCTGTAGAGGTCTGTACGGCTGAATTCATAGCTCATTAGTCAATCTAGCCGGAGTCACCGGAAGGGACCTATACGGCACTACATTGCACATGAGTCGGAACCACTGCAAAGGTCTGTACGACAAGACTGGGTGTAATATAGTTATACTCAATGCTACACTCTCATGATAGCTGTGCGATAAATCGCTAGTGATGTGAAAATTACTTGACACACAAATTAAACCCTCTTTTTTGACAATTGTAGTATAGATGTAAGTAAGGTATCGTTCTAGGCCGGGGATTAGGAGGGATTGCTAATCTATTCTAAATTAATTTAAAAATATTAAACAAGACTCAATGACACAAAACTAGGCTAAAAAACTCTAATAACTCGAAACACACTAAGAATGACTCAAAATAATAAAAACAATCAAATTGGATACTAGGAACTGAAATGAACGGAAATTGAATTAAAAGACTAACAACAATGAAAACTAACTAAATAATATAATTTAATAATGGGGGGTTTGGTTTTGACGAGAAGTAAATTAAACTTAAATAAATTACAGAATTGACAAAAACATGAAATTAAGGTGAAAGGATAGGTGATGGATTAGCTAGAGGGTTCTTCTCCACACATGACACATATGCAACCTAAATTGATTTTCAGTTGTTCTTTCAATAAGTTGTGAATCTCAACACTTCAGATTAACCGTGAACAGCACTTTTTTAATCTTCAAGTTTTCCTTAAGTTATTGAATTGGACGGAAAACGCATACAACAATTCAAAACATTCTTCAAAAGTCCCCTACGTGAAAAGCACAATAGAGATACAATCAAAGATCATTAAACTTTGTGAAAACTATAAGCATTGACGAGGCATTCGTAACTATGAAAAGCATGATACTCTTGCCAAGAATTCACTTAACACGATTGTGGATAACAACCTTCACTACTTGTGAATATAAGTTCATAACGATTAGGTGAAATTCACTTATATTCTAGCATCAAATTCATGCATGTAAATTAAGTATGCATCCTTAATCGACATACAAAAATAAGTTATCAATCAAGCAGTTAAGCAAATTAAATCACAACTCAGAAATCACAACTGAAGGTAATCAATTCATATTACAAATATATTCATGGTTTCGAATTAACCTCTAGCCAAAATAAATTAGTTACACATTATTACAAATTAAACCAAACGTAAATCATGAGTTTGAGAAGATAACACCAATAAGAACGGAGTGAAGCCCTCTGCCTCTGTGCTCATCTTCTTCCCTGGCTGTCCTGCCCTCTGAACTGCCCTCTCACCTACCCTCTGACCTCTCTCCTGCTTCTCTCCTTTTCGCTGCCAAAGGCAGCGTTTCTTATCTCCTCTTTTCACGCTGCCCAAGCAGCTCCCTCCAATCTGTCCCGTACCTCTCTGCCTTCTAATTTCCTTTTATTTTCTGCCTTCCTGTGTCTTCCAGCTCACGCTGTCTCTCTCTACATAGCTGCCAACGCAGCCTTTTCTTTCATTTTTCGCACTGCCCACGTCTCCTGCTCTCTGCTGCAAAGGCAGCTCCTCCAATTCCTCCAGCTGGACTCTCCCCTTTATTTCTCTGCGTGAGCTGCATTTCTTCTCACCCCGCGTCACCCCTATTATACTTTTATTCCTCTTTCCGGTTTTATCTCTCCGTGCCTCACTCCTTTTCCACCTTTCACGCCTGCTTTCTTCTTTTCTCCTTCTTGGATTCTTTTGTTGTCTAGTTGGAAAGCCACGCTTGGTAAACAGATATTGGAAAAATCAATGCCGTGGTGCATATATACATTCTGCATAGGTTTAGGGACAGAGATTTAGTTCAATTATAATCGCAATGAATAAACTAAATTAATTGACCTACAAAAAAAATCATAATGTTCGAAGTAACTATTCTGTTTATTATTTAAAACTCATTTGTGCTATTTTTATTTTCTTTGCATAACAGATCCTATAAACACAAAAATAACGTAAATAGCTCAAAAATATAAGGAACTGACTAAGAAAAGACGAGTGAATTCGAAGTAAAAATATATATAAATATGATCCGATCAAATACCCCCACACTTAACTTTTGCTAGTCCTCGAGCAAAACAAAGAAAACATGAAAAAGTAATAACATGAAAAACATTAGCTTCCCTCTATGTGACCCTCATAGAATTTCATTCAAGAAAACAAATCATCAAGAACCATAGCTAGCAAGGAACTAATCCAAGTTCATCTTCCTTATTCAAATATTAGCAGTAATCTTTAAATCATCCTTGAAGTGTAGTGTGTGAGATAGCCATGCTAATGCAATTTCAAGTTTTTATTTTTAAAATCATCATATGCAAACTAGCGACCTTCTCACTGAATATTCACTCAATCACACATGTGTTTAGTTTTAATGTGTTTCGCTCAAAAAATCAAATGTGAAATTTCTACCATAAGCTTGCATAAAGATCACTTCTCCACAGTCATAATTGCAAAACTTAAATCAAGAGGACTTTTATTGGATGTAATGAGGTTTAGGGATAGGGTTATTGAAACGATAGAATAGGAAAACACAAGTTCCAAGCTACATTGCAAGCAATTCTTTTCTTTAGATTTATAAGAACTCAAGCTCTCCAGCAATTCTTCTAGCACCTCCAACCACAACCTTAAACTGAAACTTTAAAAACTTTTTATTTCATTTGTATACAATCTTTCTTTTTCTTTTTCTTTTCTTCTCTTTTCTCTTTTTTTTTTTTTTTTTAAATACAAACATGAAATACCCCCACACTTATTCTTTTGCCAAACACCTTCAAAGTACTTCACAAGCGTTTCTCATAAGACAATCTTGCATTGCTCGCTTGGAAAGGGTAAGGAAAAAATGTTTCAGGTATAAGGGTAGACATATCTGGTGATAAGAAATAAAAGGTTCAACATACACGGCTCAAATTGGCAATCTAATGATATCATTTTTATTTGGGAAACATGGTTATTTGGGCCATAGTGGTAAACCTAATGCCTCTATCATTTCCAAGTTCATGCAATCAATGACAAACATTTCGAAAGATCGTTACGCAAGTTCTAGAGATGTATCTCACATAAGTTCATCACACATGAAAAGAATAGGAGTGTATGAAAAATGCACACACTTTCAATAGGCTCAAAAACTCACATAGGATGTATATGGTCACTAAATTCACATATGAAGCTTTAAGTCATACTTTAGTTTCACATTAACAAGACTATGTGCATTTGGTTTTTCAAAGATGATCAAACATGTACAAAACTAACAAGAGAATTAGGAATTTCACAAAACACATGTTAACTAAGTTCTTGATGATCATGGTTCAAATTTGATCCAATTATATCATTGGGTCGGGAAACTAACAAAAAATCTAATTCAAAACAATAAGGGAAACAAGACAATATTTTTGGATTTTTAAATTTTCCGATTTTTTTTTTATTTTTTATTTATTTATTTTTTAATGAAAACAAAACTAATTAAGAAAACAAAAAGCAACAACACAGAAACAAATGAAACCAGTTCGTAGTTTGAAGGTACAAAAAAATTTCAATTTGGTCATTTTTTATACTCTTTACCCCCAAACTTAAACTGGACATTGTCCCCAATGTCAGAAAACACTATAATGCAAATAAAAATAAAATAAATAAATAATAAGAAACAAAATAAAACAATTGGACTGAAAACTTCCCTAATTTGCAGTAAAATCAAGCGATGACCCCCAAGCTAAAATTCTGCAATCAACTTCAAGGGTGGAAATAACCAAAAGTTCCTGCAAAGAAAAGAAATAATTCAGTTTAGTAACACAAGAAAATATAAAAAAAAATTGCAAACGAAAAATTGAAAATCACGATAAAAGACAATGAATAGAACTAATAAGTGATCATTGGTCGTGCTTGTTGACTTTCCACAGCTTTCCTCTTGAACAGGGTGACACTTAGCTTTTTACTTGCAAGTGATGATTTGATGATATTGTACGGCGAGGCTTTGCTCTTTGGCGATGTTGTTGTTCCTTATTTGTTCTCCAAGCAGATGTGGCAGCTTCTCTAGTTCTTCAGCTCGGACTCCTTGTGCTGGGTTGATTGTACGAGCTGCATTCTTTTCTGCTTGTTTCTGCTGCACAACGGGCAGGCACGAGGGAGAGGTGTTAGTCTGTTTCTTTCTTCAATCTTTCCAAGTGCCCACCTCTTGCTCTCTTTCTCCTTGTCCCTAGCTGAATTGTCTCCACATGCTTCGAGGTATCATTTTCACTTCCCTTACTGTCCCCCAGGCAGATGTGGTAGACGAAGAGAAAGCATAAAATGATGAAGATGAGTACTCGAGAGCAAGGCTAGGTAAGCAATCAGGAAGGGGTTCCAGGCAGTTGGCTCCAGATCGGAAGATTGATACCAAATGCTGGCTGATTGCTCTCTTTCTCCTTGTCGTAAAACAAAGACAAGGAAAAGGACAGGGAGAAAGCATGATATGAGATACTATTGCTTTCAACCTTCATGATATGAAATACTTTTGCTCTGGATGGGTTGTTTGCAGGGGTATCCCAGGGAATGAGGAATACAGTGTGACTCG